AGGAGCGGAAGAGGGCAGCGACTCCGGAGTTTTCGGTGACTTTGGGTCTTCCGGCTGGTGCTGAAGACGGAGCATCGTTTGCGGCGGCAACCACGGTGTACGAGTTCCACGTGGGAGATACAGCCTTCCTGTCCCGCCCGCTGGAGATGCCTGCAGAAGGTGTCACCTTCCACGACGACGATAAATTGGCAGCTCTTTTTGCATGGGCTGGCATCAAACAACTTGTCCGTGCACAATTCCCCCCACCGCACACCGTTGCCTTCGGGCACATCTACCACACACCGTACCTCGCGAAACTTGCGCCTTCTTCGCGGCAGTCCGTGTTCCAGCTGTTGTTCGCTCTCCGTCGTGCCACCTTTCATGAAGGTCCTCAAGGAACGTCGGTGGTGACCCAGGAGGAAGGACTCCAGCTGCCTCTTGCTCGTGCTGCTTCGACCAACGACTTTAAGCACGATCTGCAAGCCCCTCGCCAGGCCTCGTCACGCCCTGCGCATGGTTCTGCAGAGGACAAGGACTTCAGTAGGTCGGCGGCTCCGGTGTCCAAGNGTCGGTGGTGACCCAGGAGGGAGGACTCCAGCTGCCTCTTACTCGTGCTGCTTCGACCAAAGACTTCAAGCACGATCTACAAGCCCCCCCGGCAGGCCTCTTCACGCCCTGCACATGGTTCTGGAGAGGACAAGGATTCCAGTAGGTCGGCGGCTCCGGTGTCCAAGAGCTGGAAGAACCGTTGGGGCGACCGGGATTCGACGGCCAAGAGCGGGACGGACGACCACCACCGCTTCACCCAGTCTTCGCGAGGGCNGGAAGAACCGTTGGGGCGACCGGGATTCGACGGCCAAGAGCGGGACGGACGACCACCACCGCTCCACCCAGTCTTCGCGAGGGCGCGGTGTCGGATAACAGGCGAGGGCGAACCGTGGGGAACCAGCCGACGAGGTCTTCGCCGGCGAGTCGCCATCGCCGGAGCAGGAGTCGGAGCGCAGAGCGACAACAGCGCACCATTCCTTCGTCTAGGCGTGGGCGCAGCCGGAGCGGAGACCGTCGTGGGAAAAACACGCCTCCGTCTAGGCGTAGCCGTAGCCGGAGCCAGAACTANGAGGTGATTTTCGTAGCTCTGGGTTGTTGGGGGAAAGCAAGGATGCTTCCGAAGACGGTTCCCTCTGTTCTTCACCGCTTGCTCTACGCCTCCCGCTGATGTAGGCCAACCGACCAGGTCTTCTTTGGCTTTCGAACTTGCCAACATGCAACTTCGTGAACGTTCAGCCGCTGTGAAAAGCCATGCCCCTGCCCATGCCGTTATGGATCATCCCACATCTTCCCTGCCTTTGGACGAACCTGTTGAGTCACCACGCCATGCTGCATCACACGCCTCGACCTCGGCCTCCCGTACTGAAATGCTGTTGGAACAAGTACTCACTCTCCTGCGAGCAAATCAAGTAGTGGATGCTGCTGCCGACGCGAATGTACAACCTCCTGTGCCCCCCCACGCTCCAAGCGTGCCATCACCTGCCCCATCTTCTTCCCCACCAACCCGTCCGGCACCGATGTAAGACCACGCTTCGATCTTTTCGGGAGCTGCTGTGGGACGCGATCTTCGTGCCGAAACCGCTGCCAGGACCACGCCAGCATCATCGTCATCAGTCACGAGGTCGGCGACAGTACCGGTCGAGCCTGCGGTGGAACCGTCAGCGTCGACAGCCCCAGCCCTGTTGCAACAGCCTTTGGTGGTATCGCCCCCCCCCCT